GATCAGGGGAGGGTCACCACACACCTGGCAGCCCGGGCAGGTTTGTGGGGAGGGGGTGCAAGCTGGAAGCATTTGGGGTTTGAAGGCCTTCAGGTCAGGGGGAGTGGCTGCACTGCATCCCACCCACTTGAAGGGGCAGAAGGAGGAGGAGGGGCAGCTTGCCCCCTGCCCCCTGGGACTTAGAGCCAGACCCACATCAGGCTGGGCGATTTGGGTGCAAACCAGGCTCTGTTGCTGATCTGTGTGATTTGAACAAATTCCCACTGGATTCTGTGCCTCAGTTTCCCCATGGATGTGGGTCCCTTGGATTGGGTTGGTGGGCTAGCCGTCCAGGCCTGCAGCCTCGGGGACCCACCCACGGGGCACTCAGGCGGGCACCCGGGCAGCCACGTGGGCGATGCCGACAGGAGCCACCAGGTGGCGCCGGCGCGCCGCTGCTCCCGCGCCTGGGGGGCCGTGACTCAGTCCCTAAAGGACCCGGCTGGTCACCAGTTAGGGATCCCGCGCGGCCGCAGAGCCCACGACGTCATCCGTCCTTCCGAGCTCGGGGCTGGGGGCGGTTAGCCGAGGGGTCGGGCTGGGAGCTGACCTGGGGGCAGGTGGCAGCGCCAGGGCCGGGCCTGCCCCTGGCCACGCCCCCTGGCCCTGCAGGGGACCCGCCCCTCCAGCTGCGCCCGGCTCAGGGCCACTGGGACCAGCAGCGCGTGGGCCTCGCTGGACACGCTCAGCAGGAGTTGTCTTTTTAACACCTGAGGATATTTTTTCCATTCATTTTTAGGGAGAGTGGAAGGGAAGGAGGGAGGGGGGAGAAAGAAACTGATTGGCACCCGGACAGGCGGTGGAGAGCGAACCTGCAGCCAGGTGCGTGCCCTTGACAAGGAGTCGAACCCAAGACTCAGGTGTGCGGGCCACACTCTAACCACTGAGCACACGGGCCAGGGCTGCGCTTGGCTTGAAGGGTAAATGAAAGGGAGATGCGGGCCCTGCCCTGCCCTGGCCCTGAGAGCCTTCTGCAGGGAGGGACCGCTAGCAACGTCTGGCGTTTACTTGAGGAATCGTGGCTGGTGCAACCCAGAAACTTCCTTTCATTTAAATTAACTCACATTTAAACAGTCACCGGTGGCCGGTGGGCCCTGCACTGGGCGGCACCAGCTCGGTGCCCCAAAATGCCAGCCGCCCCCAGCCGCAGCCTGACACCGAGCCCCCGGCGCCTGAAATGAACCACTCCGGACAACGGCACTTTTCCAATTATAGCTTTTTCTTTTCTTTTTTCTTTTTATGAAAAAGATCACACAGAATTCGCCAACAAACAAAATTCCAAAAGAAACTTAAAAAAAAAAGGAAAACAGTAATTCCCCCAAAAAATAAAACCGAAGTCTGGCTTTTCCTTCCCTTAAGATTGTCTGGACGAGGCCGGTCTCCCTGGAGGGCTGGGCTGCTAAGTGCTTTGTGGGCCCCCCGGGGCTCAGCCCCTCGTCCCTCGGCCTCTGCTCTCTCTAGCTCCTCATCTGGGGGCGGGTACAGTACACTTGGGCCAGGCGGGGCGGGGTGTGCTTGGGACAAGGGGGGCCCGTGAAGCTGGGTGCTAGACACTCACAATCTAACAGGAAATAAAAAATAATATTCTGCACGTCAGAATGTGTTCGCTTTTTTTTATAATTTCATAGCTATTTTTCACAGTTTTAAAAAGTTTATATTTATATATATTTATATATATTTATCTTTATATATATAATTAAAAAGTCGACTCCATTTAAGGGTGTATGTACAGGGGAAGAGTCTCGGTACAATAAAACTGTACAGGTGAGAACTGCGCCTCCCCCAGGCTGGCCAGAACCAGGGTGTCAGCACCATTGGGGTTGTCTGTAGTGTGAGGGTCTGCACCAGCGGGCGGGCCCTGGCCAGGGCTTCAGGTGCACAGCCTTCCTCCCAGGACCTGGCTTACGCTGCCGGCACCCCCTCACCTGGCTCTGTTCCCCAAGTCCAGGGCATCCTGAGAGGGTGGAGGCTGGGCCCCTGGCAGGTGCCCAGAGCACGCCTGGCCTGGTCAGTGAGGCTGGTGGGTGTCAGACGGGCCGGCCCGTGGTGGGAGGCTTAGGGTGGGCACCATGCTGAGGGGGGCCAAGCAATGGGATCCTCGGGAGGACCCACAAGCAGCAGGAACCCCAGAGAGAGCCTCAGTTTGGTTCCTCGGAAACGCCCTCTCAGTCCACGTCGGCTGCACTCTGGGGTCCTGGGCACGGCCTGGCCAAGTGCTTACGAGGTGCTGGAGGCGAGGCCCTGAGGCTGGGCAGAGCCACACCCTGATAGCGGAGAGGCCCCCTCTTCAGAGGCACCGAGGGGTTCGGAAAGGGGGCTGGAGGCGTGTGCACATGTGAGCACACACGTGCATGCATACGGGCACGCACACGTACACACTCAGGTGCCAGGGTGTCCAGGGCACATGTGCATGCACACGCCGGCGCGAGTGGCCCAAGCGTGGCAGTGCGCAGCGGCCCCCCGCCGTGGGCACTCAGCAGAGCACGGGCACGCCGTCCGTGGAGAAGATCATGCCTGTGGTGGGCTCGTAGGTGCCCGCGAGGTAGTACAGGCCCTCGCTGTCCTGGTGCTTCTTGGTCTTGAGCATCTGCTCGTACTGCTCCAGCCCGACCACCAGGCACTTGTGCGACACGGTCTGCACGTCATTCTCGTCCACGTGGGAGGACTGGTACAGGGCGCGCTGCGGGGCGGGGGGCAGTGTCAGGCAGGGCCCCAGGGCGGGGCAGGGACCCAGGGAC